CGTATAATTCATTAGAAGATAAAATGCACGAACGGTATATAATACTGGGGATTATTCTTTTATTCTATGCCTTTAGAATCTTTTAATGTTTCAGGGACAAGTAAACTTTTCCCCCCCAGTGACGTGAAGTTGCGAGCGAAGAGAAACAACTAATAGTCAAATGTTCGATATATAATACCGAAACTGAAGTTTCTCTCTTTAATGAATTTTTAATCAGAGATATTTTCAATCCAACATTTTTTTTTTTAATTACTCAGTAACATGTCCAAGCATATTGTCGGTCAGTAAGCCTCGTACAATGATAAATCAAGAAGTATTATGACGTCTGTGTATCTTAACACTATGCAAAGTAGCAGAGAGGCAAGAAGAACCAATCATGGACATTTCGGTTGGTTATACCAGGTTCGTTAATCCATTTGAGTTTCTTGAAATTTCTCTAACTTGATTAACTAGAAATTGATCAATTTTTATCTACAATTTCAAGAATATGATTCGATTAAAAATATAATATAAAGGAAAATTGAAAAGTAAACGTAGAAATGAAATATGAGAAAAAAATAGAAATATAATAATAATGAAATATAAGGGAAGATAATGAAAAAATTAAACTGAAGAATCGATTAAATTGAAACATTTTATTTAACACTTTAATTGATTTTATTCTTCAGAGATGTTAATAATTTAATAAGACTAACCAGACATAATAACTTAATTCAATATCTTTATAAATGAAAGTTGTACCTCACATGTAAAGTACAATAAAGTACAGAGAAAATTAAAGAACTTTATTCAATAGATTAATAGAATTAGTAGATTAATAGAATTTATTCTTCAGGTATTAATGAATTAATCATCTAAGGGTAGTAATTTAATTTGTAATAATAACATGTTTAAAAATGAAGATAGTACTTCACAGTGTATTTTAACAATAATAAGATATAGAAAAAATTACGTTGGCCTAATTTAAGAATTTTACTTGACAATTTAATGGATTTTACTCTTTAGAAATATTGATCATCCAAGGATAATAATATAAGATTTTTAAAAAATGAAAGTAGTACCTTAAGCGATAAAGAAAAAAATTAAACTGATCTAATGTAAGAATCTTATTTTACTAAACTTTATTCTTCAGAGTTAATAATTGTGTAATAATCAATGTTAATAATTTAACGAAGGATAATCTTCAGGGATGTTAATGATTTAATGATTCAAGGATAATAATTTAATTTAATATCTTTGCAAATGAAATTAATAATCCCTCACATAATGTAGACAGTATTTTTTAACAATAATGAACTATAAAAGAAATTAAACTGACCTAATTTAAGAATTTTACATTTCAACAGATTTTATCCTTCAGAGATGTTAATCATTTAATGATCCAAAGATAATTAATAATTAATTAACTTAACATATTTATAAACGAAAATTATACTTAGACAGTAATTTTTAACAAGGTCCTATGCCAAGAAAAGAATGTTAAACCATTGCCCGCCGTACAAGCATATTTATCAGAGGGTTGTTTACGATTCTGCGTGGATCGCGTGGCCTTGAAAGATTGGCCCCCAATATTGAAAAGTATCGCCGAGAATCGAAGTCTGTCGAAAATCAATGTCTATAGCCGATGCCGTTGCAAACGAGTACGAGAGAAAGTGAATACGGAGGAGAAGCTTGAGAAATTATGGTAATTCTGAACGTCAGAGAAATTTAATCGAACGTTATAGAAATGTAAAACTGGGAGACACGAAAGGGACTTTTGAACGAAGTAAAAAGCGACGACACATAAAGACAGATTGTTACTGCGAAAAGTTACGAAATCGTTGCGTGGGAAATAACGACTTGTCTTAAATGCTCAGATATGTAAAAACTTGAACCGAGGTACTTATGAGAATGGAATTTAGAGAATCGCTTGAACTCCTTGCATCCCCAAGCTTAAACTTCCCAAGCTTTGCTTTAACATTCCAGTGCCATTTTTCTGTGTAGCATAGATATTCTGAAGTACTTCAATGTTAATTCTTCTTGTCTCACAATTAATGGTCAAAATAATACAAAATTGTAGAAACTTTTATTTCTGTATTGCCAGAATATTGAGCATGAGCGTTCTTAAATTTTTGAGTTCCTGATTCTTACTTATCTTAGAATTGTTTATCATAGTAACATAAAAATTTCTCAATTCTCAATTTTTATACTATCGGAATATTAAATTTTTTATATCTTTCCATTCTAATTCTTTTCGTCTCTGGATTAATTCTGAAAATAATTCCAATTTAGAAAAATTCTTCTAGTCTTTTTATGTTATTGTAACATTCACTATAAATCTTGTAACATACGCTATAAAGTTCTTAAATCTTTTCATTCTAATTCTCTTCGTTTCTGAATTAACTTTCAAAATAATACAGAATTTCCAATTGATAAATTTTCTCCCATATTATCAAACTTCTACATTATCAAATCCTTTGAACCTTTCCTTTATGCAAGAATAAAATTGCCACACTCGACAAAAAGATATTTTCCTTTCGGATACTACTCCCAGAAAGTTTAAGCTTGCAGGTCGCATCGTCTGGACTGAATGAAATGATGGAAGGCTAGAGGAATGTGGAACCAAAGGAGGAAACAAAATGGAGGCTGGAAGGGCAGGAGCGAACGAGCGATAAGAATAAAAATCTCCCAGATTTAATAAAAATATTAAAAAAAAAAAAAAAAAAAAAAGAAAAGAAAGATGTTGAAACATCCTAGACTGGCATTTGATGACACGTCCAGGCGATGCAAAGGAAATGAACGAGAGAGGCCAGTCATCTATACCAACTTCCTGTTGCGCTGTCTCGTCGATTCCATCGCTGTTTGCGCGAGAGACTCTCCCGCTATCACTTCGATCACTGTCGATGGGATCCCATTGACGTTGAAGTATCTCAACATCCTGTGTTCCGGTTTGAGAAGCAACGAGAAGCTGACAAGTTTGTCTCTGACGAGGTGTCACATAGGAGACGTCGGTTAGTATTATTTTCCAACCGTTAAAAAAACGTTGATTCTTATGTTATTATTTCCTTGTAATTGTTTCTTTAATTCAGTAGTATCGTAGTATGATATTTTCCAAACAGATTACACGCTCTTTCTTTCGTGTCACTACTGTTTTGCTATTCGTTGATCGTTCATGGAATAGTTTTAGTTACCGTCCATTTCTTTTTTCCTTTTTTTTTTTTAAATATAGGTTGCGATTTGCTGTTGGGCAGCTTGAGGAACAATCCAAAGTTGTGTGTCTTGAATTTGTCGTCGTGTTGGTTGTCCGACAGAAGCGCCATGAACCTGTCGCTGTTTTTGAAGAGGAGGAAGGCCGACTTGTTGCAGAACGTTTGGGAACAGTCCTCTGTACAGTCTCGCGATGAAAATTCTGACAAGAAGGTGAGAATCAATTTTGTCGTTAGTGGAAGAGATAGAAAGTGCATATTATCTTCTTGCAATCTGAATCACGATAATGTGATTTTTATTACAATATTATAATGTATATTTAAATTGTATATTTAATATTGCGGGGGACAAAACGATCGGATAATATGCAACGTTTTTGCACGACCTAATCTGGATTACAATAATTTTTGTTATAATATTATAGTGTATATCTAAATTGAAATAAATATAGTTAATAAACTGCGGATATTTATGCATTTATAAGAAATTTAAATCCAGAATATCAGATAATATGCAACGTTTTTGCACGAGCTAATCTGGATTATAATAATTTTTGTTATGATATTATAGTGTATATCTAAATTGAAATAAATATAGTTAATAAGCTGCGGAT